TGGAAGTTTACAGCCTTGAGCTATTATTATTTAATGGGTTTTACTTCTTTAATATTTTGTAACTTTGAAAAGTTGCAAAGGAATGTTTTAAATTTCCTCATTTATTTTGCATAACTTATTCTGGAATGAAACAGCATAACATCGAATTGTACTTGTTCTGTCCAATAATGAATAGCTCTTTTTTTTCTGAAACTCTCATTATTGATTTACATCTGCTTCCATCAAAATCAATGAAGATTTTACAAGTATTTAAAAAATAACCCAGACTCTAGTCAAAGTTTCATAGTATTTGAATTAACAATGACAGAACAAAACCATAGTTAAATAAAAATAAGCAAAATAATGAAAAGTTTTGACTCTGAAATGAGAAACTATAGCCATTCTGACACAAATATAGACAGAGAACCTCAATCTATTTACTCTGTCTCATTTATATTGCTTATCTATGTATATAAATAAAAAAACGTTTCTTTACCTGCCCTCTGGATAAAACAGAGAATTATGGAAGGTATTCTATCTCCTTCTTTTCAGGCTACTCTAATTGGGTAGTTAGATAAAAATCTCTGTTTAGATAGAGAAACTGAATATGTTGCATCTGTATGAGTGAATGGGTACAAAAGGGAAATATCCTAAGGATATTGGAACTGTTTACAGGAATAAACAGCTGTTTACAGGGATAAAGAATACATAGATTTTTCTCACACAATTGTGGGGGTTTTTTCTTAACATTTTCTTATTGCTTTGTAATTTTACTTCTTTCTTTTGTATGTTTTCATAAAAGCCTGCTTGACTGAGGACTTGCTCTTCACCTTGAGAAACAAGAGCAATGTAGAAATGAATGATATGCTTAGAGAGGACAAATTAAAACTGAACAATTAGAGTGAAAGAGAAAATACAATAAAAATGCTCCCAGAGAATATATTAAACTGAAGTTCTGAAAACACTTATATGTTAAATTCATCTTTTTACAATCATGGTCCTTTAGCAGGACTTTTTCAATTCACTGTCACAGACCACAGTTAGGATCCATGGCAGTAAATGATAGAGGAGGAGCATGGGCAAAGGGGAATTATTAAAAATCTGTAGTGTTTACTACCTTATTCTGTGTCTATTTTATTTGTATTTTCATGCCTTGCAGACAATAAATCTGGAAAGGACAATACTGTTTGGGAAAAGACATTTCTGTAGAGGGGAATTTTGCAGTTTTGTAGATGCCACTAGAAAGTTTGGAGATGAAAATTTGACCTGTATTTTTCTGATTTTAGGCACATAAAGTTGACATTAGGTAATGTTTCCAAGATGGATCATCATCTAATGGTTCTAAAAAGCACTTTCAGCTGTCTGAATATCTTCCTGCTCTCTGCTGCACACCTAACAGTTGCTGCACGTTTGAAAACCCAGAGCAGGTCCTGACTTATCAGAAATACTCAGTCAAAGATGAGATCTGAAAAAGAACAATAACTTGATGGAAAAGTATTAATAGAGAAGGCAGTGGTTAAAGACCAGTAATTTTTCAATTTGTCTTAGAATTACAGAAACAATTGAAAGCAAAATACCATTCGTGTATTTTATCCAATGCAAAATTATGCCCTGAAGGATGCTTAAAATTAGTTTTCCCACCCAATCATAAAATATCACCTCATAACGCTGCTTTCATGGGTGCACATGCCCTTGTTGTTTAAGAGAACACATAATTAAAAATATTTTTCAACATTCAGAATTAATTTTCCTTTCATAGCTTTAATTCAGAACTAACTATAACTTTTCAGACTTCCAGGTAGCCATTAATTTATTCTCTCTTGTTTCAGTCTGCATAGATCAAGAAATCTTGCATAGAGGCACAGATTGATTTATAGAAACTGAGAATTCTCAGCTTTTCCTTGTGTGAAGATGAATCCAAATATTGTCACTGAAATTTTCTTTTACATGCCTGGAATGTTATGTTTATTTCATTATTATGTCTAAGGAAATAAATAGAATAACCAGACAGAAAATGACAACTGAAATTTGAGAGCTGGCTGGTCCTCCTCTGCCTGAGAATCCCACCTGGAGGTATTTTTGAGGAAACATGAAGACTTCATTTTTCTCGAGTGTAGTGGTAGTTTATTTTCTCTAAGTCTTTATCTTCTTTTGTAACTGCAGTAAAATCTGACTCTAAACCCACATTGGTTAACATTAGAACATTTTTATCTAGTGTTTGTATTCATCACCTCTTTCAGTAAGACAAATGCATTTATTTTGCTCTTCAAAAAATGGTATGTTTAGACAGTTACATGGGTTCCTCTCTTCTCCATGATACTTTGTTCATGTTCATGCAGTGCTGAAATGCAGAAGGTATCAATAGTCATACTAAACTCTCATGATCTTGCTAGATTGAAAGAACAGGTGTCCAAGAAATAACAGTCCAAGTTTCAATTACCTAGTGAGGCACTGTCTATTTAAGTAACTCACATCTGTGTTAAAAATGTCCTTTTATCTATATAGGACTAATGCTCTTGAAATCCAACTTATTTGAGGTTTGCATGCAATGTTCTCTGATCACTCAGGTAAGGAACTATGGTTCATCATCTTTTATTGCTCACCTGCTTCAGAAAGGCTTCATGATGAAAACAGTTTCAAGAAACAGAAAAGCTTAAGATCAAGGTGGGTTTTTTAATACTGTTAAGATTTCATACCTGCTGTTGCGAAAGGAGCATTGTTTTATTTATTTTCCCACAGGGAATATTTATATATCATTAGGAGTTCACATTAGTTCTTTTCTCTGGTAGATCTCTATGTCTGATTTCCAAAACAAGCTGAGTACATCGTGGGGGTTTTTTTTGTATGTTGGTTGTTTGTTTTTACCTGTCACTCTAAATACTGCGTGGTGTTCTCATGAATAGAAACTCTTGATCTTTTGCAACTCAGAAAACTCTCAAAAGTTCCATTTTTTTACTTTGATCAGAGAGAGCAGCTTGCACAGAATGGATACAGCAGAGGATGATGCCCTCGTGGCAATACCATTATCTGAACTGAGCAGTCAGGACCCCCAGCAGAAGGGTGTTGGTGGGTGGGGAAGGGTGCTGGGTACTGGTAATGGTGTAGAGTGCACTGGGACTGAACTGGGAGCCCAGTGTGAGCTCAGCTGAGCACAGCAGCCCAAGGCAAGGTGTGGGAGGCAGGTGTGAGGAGCTGAAGCAGAAACAAAAGTGCTTAGAGGGAAGGAGAAGGAAGGAAAAGCGATGAGGAGGTGGGGAAGTATGGAACAGTAGGAGCTGTCAAAAAGATATCTGAGCATGGAGACAAAAGCAGAGGTCTGGAATTAAGAAAGGGAGGCACAAATCTGAGGAAGAGGATGAGTGAGTTGGATCAGGAGTGGTAGAGGGGAAGCAGCAGCGTCACCGGCCTGGAGAGCACAGGAGGCAGCCTAGAGGGGCTGGAGAAGGCAGAAAATCAAGAAGGAGGAGGATGCCAGGAAAGAAACCCAGGCAATAGAAAGTTTGGAAAACACAGACCTCGATGATGTTATGTATGTATCATGTAGGTACACCTCAAAAAGATAGATACAATAATTTCTATCAAATGCTATCATTTCTTTTTGTATTGTTTGAAAAACCTGGCAGAACCATTTCCTCACCTGTTCCTCTGGCTTAGTACTGTTTTGAGGTGAATGAGTATTTTAATGAACTCATTTCTCTTTTAAATCATTAAATATATTCACGCTTGATAATATGCATCAATTCTTTCTGTGGGGGGAGATTATTACCAGAAATAATGTGGTGCATTAGAATTGCATTAGAATGTAGATTTAGGCCATATTTAATTTCCTCCTGAGCTCCGTGTTGTGCAAGAAGTGTACAAAACAGATGTAGTCTAAGGTAAAAATTGACAGAATCAGCTTGTGCCTGCAGGGGTCAGCAAAGAAGCTGCACAAGATCTGCCCCTCTCAATCTGCTCCGATTTCATTTGCTCTGTAGAGCACAGTATGCTCTGGTAGAACCAGCACACACATTCTGAATTAATCAGTCAGCTCAGCATTAATAATTCAGTGAAAATTATAATAAGCTGATCTGCAAATGTACTTTTGAAAGTCAACGTTAGAGCTCTCTTTCACTTTCAAGCTGCAAAAATCTAAATCTTAGTGGAAAAAGATGGAAATCCCTGAAACCTATGGTGTTATACTCAGAGTCAAACTCAAAGTGTGACCTTGCCTGTTCTAATGAGTCAGCAGCCTGATGGAGAGAGGGTGTAGAATAGGATCTTTTTCCAAAAAAAGGATGTCTGGTGGCGTTGGGTTATCTGAGCTTCATGTGGAATACTCTGCTTGCATGAGGATTTAAAGATAGACCTGTAGCTCTGGGAGATAAGTAACATTAGTCATAATGGAAGATTAATATTTTTTCCCTCAAAGGTAAAAACCTGAGAATCTTTGGTTGCATTTCAAGTACATTCTCACTACTAAATGGGTTTTTCTTTAACTTCAGCGTTTCTGCAAAAGAAAAGTCTATGTCAGTAAAAATTCTCTGTCAGGAAATAATTTGTTTCTGACCAACCTTAGCTTTTGTGTGTTTGAGCCAACAATAAGGAAGGGAAACTGAAACCTGGCCAAAAAGAGACACAGTTTTGTGGTTGCCACTGGGCAACAAAGGCACTGAGATCAGCTAATGGTCAGTTGAAACTAAGCATTTCCTTTCAGGTCAGCAAAGAGAATAAAATATTTCAGAATTTTCACATGCATTTTTTATGATTTTTTTTTTAAATGCATAAGCAATAAAAATTAATTCATGTTTTATTAAAAACCTGTCAAATTCCAGGCTGATGTGACAGATTTCTTTCTTGGTCACCTCTGTATCAAGTGTGAAAAAATAAGTCAGAAGGTAAATTATTTCCAGTATTCACAAATGCGGGTGGAATTTTATAGAAAGTTGAGCATATTCTGGATATTTAAAGGAAAAAAAAAAGAGAATATCTATACTGAGGAATCAGAAAATTACACTGAGGACCATTATTCTTCTCTTTCTTGGAGTGCACTTCTCAATATGAACCACAGCTGATGCTCTGGTCCCACCTGTGAAGTGAAGAGGCCAGTGTCCTCTATCCAATAGAAAATATTCCCACTTATGCATCTTCCTTTGACCTTTTCCTTATTTTTTTCAAAAGCTTGGAGTTGGTGAGCTATTCCAGTCCCCAGTTTCCTTTCAGCACCACCATTGCCTAGTGAATTGTTCCCTAGTCAGTATTTTTGCAGTTTATTCTTCCTGCCCAGGTGTTAAACTTTACAGCTGTTTTTATTGAATGGCATCTTATTTTTTTGTCTGCAGTATTTTCTCAGTTTGCCAAAATCATTGTGAATCGTAGACCTGTCTTCCAACCTGCTCGAGACTCTTCTGTGCTTAGAGCCACTTGTGATTTTAATAACTGTATTTCCTATGCCATCATAGAGTTTGGTAATGCTTTTTATAATTAAGGTTTGTATGTCAAAGTAATTTATTTTAGTCATTAAAAAAAATGCAAAAAGATAGAGGGGAGAATCATTATTCTTTTGGCAATAACACATTCAGATAGTCAGCAACACCTATTTTAAACTGAGAAATAATCTTTCATTCAGGACCCTCAAATCCCCCTAAGACTTCCAGTTGCAGTGTAGCCTGGAGCAATGGAGAATAAAGCTCTCCCAGGTTAATTTGCTGTGTTGAGCACCATGTGCTGCACATACAAAGGCCCAGTCTAGGTTGTCCCACAGGAATATTTGATAATGAACTCAATTTGTGTCACTAATAGCAAATAAACTCTCTAAAAGAAAATGAAATTTGATTGCCTTCAATTCCAGGAATACAGAGAGGTTTGTTTACCTGAGTCACACAGTTTCTGGTCCCTAAGAATGAATCTAATAATTTAAAGCCTTTGGACCTGGACTCCAATGTACTGAATTTTCCCAAAGGCTCTGTGCCTAGTGTGACTTATATCCAGCATGCTTAGCCAACGGGAATTAGAGGGACTTAATGGATCCAAACCCAATATACAATCAATGCCACAGGGCATTTTTTCCTCTCTGAGGAGAGACTCACCGATTAAAGAGACAGGATAGCTGCTATAAAAAAGTGTGTGGACACAGCAAGCTGAAATAAATCTCACCCCAGACATGTCTTTTCACACAGTCACCTGTCACAATGTATTTCCATATCCATGGGTACTCAGATGATTTTCAAGCCTCGGTTCTTTTCGTAATAATGGAGAAGTGGATGGAGAGCATAGCAAATAAATTAAATTAATTATGTAGGAGGCAGTGAAATATGACTAAATGCATTGGGATCTTGTTGTTCCTGATGATGCATCTGAATCATTCACACCTTCTGAGCTATTCTGTTTCCTGGTGGACACACTCCTGTGAGTGAGTTCAGTTCAAAACTACCTACGAGGAAATATATGCTTGGGTAAACCTAATTTAGAAAGCATTAGCAATTATTATGGAAGCTTGTTTATATTTAGATTGTTGTTATCATTCACTCAGCTTATAATGCCTTTGGACCAGGACTGGATTTGTTTTATGGGGATTCTGAATCTGTAAATGCTGTAATCAGAGTTTCCAGCCTTTGCTTTTGTACTACAACAGATACTAAAGGAGAGTCTTTAGTAGTAAAACAGTAAGAGAAGGTTTCATATTCTCAAAGTACGTCTCTAAAAAGAAAACCAAACCCCCCAAGCCAACCAACCAAACATAAAAGAATTAAACAAAAAGTACAGGTGAAAAAGATGTATGCATTTTAAGAATTTATCACTAAATATCACCCATTTGAATTTAAATGTTTCATAAAGTTAAAAAAAAAAAAGTCTGTGCAGTAGTCGTCCCTAATTGCATCATTTTTTGTGGTACTGAAGGGTTTGTCACACTGTGTTTGGCTTGTGGGAGCAGTAATGCCTCAATGTTAACAAGTAGCTGTTCTCCTTCCTGCATAACTGAGCTGAGGAGGACAGAAAACACATAATCCCAGTGTAACCTCCAGAATTACATGTGAACAATAATGTTTCCAGGCTCCTTTCTACAATGACATCTGTGTTTTCAGAGCTGTGTAGAGCCAGGAAGTGACCTGATTTAAATTAGGATCACTGCTCCCTTCACACCAGAACCCCATGGTTTTAGTGCTGTCGCTGTCATACGTTACTTTATTGTGTTGTCATCACTAATATTGCACTGAAATGTTGAATATGAGCTGAACACTTGGTAATGCTCTGGCTTTAGGCTCCAGACTTCTAGAGCTCTTTGATTTCAGATTTTTTCCTGCTGAGGCTCTTCCATTTCTCATGGCTCCTCCTTCGTACTTTTGGCACAGACTTGGCACAGGCTCCTTGGATGACCTTCAGTCCCACAGGCTGCAGACTTCCTTGGGTGCTAACAATTTGTCCCTTATGGGCCACCTAGTAATCAAAATAACACAGATGTCGGGGAAAAAAAAAGGAAGAGAAAAGAAAAAGATAAAAAATGGACTGTTCTTTGCATTAAGTAGCTCAAGAGAAAAAGAAAGATGGATGAAACAGTATAAACAGACTCACATCCAATTTCCAGAATGTGTTTCTTCATCATTAAAATGTAACTTGGACAGAATATTCCTGTCCTGGGTGTGACTATTTTGAATTAGGGATATCCACTGTCATCTTCTGGGGTCATTTCTCTGAGATTGGATCAATCTTTCCCCCTATCTCTGCTTCAAAAGACTGGCTTCTGCAGATTTTTTTACTCTCCCCCCCCGCTTTCTTTTTTGGTGTGATTTCAGACAATGACATCTTCAAATTTCATCCATCTTGTCATACTAATGTGTTTTCAGTCAGATGGGTACTTAAGGTTGTTTTTTTTTTTTTTTTAATCCTCTGCTGTTCCTATGCTGGTAAATAACCAACTTGACCCTTTTTGCAGTGTTCTTTCCCTGTTGATGAATTCAAAACACAGCCAGTAATTCTTGAATTTTGCACAGACATTTTCTGCAGTCTCTGCAAAGACCCAGGAAGCAGATGAAGGCACTGTGAACCCCTGACAGACTGGCAAAAAATAATTCAATAATCTCCTTCTGCTAAACTGCTTTCAGGTAGGTTTTTCCTGAAAGAATTTTCTCGGCTGATTGAGGTTACTTTTGGGTTGCCAAGCATTGTAGCCAGGGTTCAGCAGCATAAAGCTTCTAAACATTCATCTGGTTTCTAAAAGATGTCGTAATTGTATATTATGAGCCAAATCACTATATTCTTTAATATTTAAATGGATGCTATTTTAAGCTGTAACTGAACAACAAAGTAATTTAAATTCTGTTATTTCTCACCCATCTGTGTGCTTGCTCTACATCCAAGGAAATTTATGGATCTCAAATCATTTTTCTGTAGTGCTCTCAACTCATATTTTTGAACCTATGATGTTTTCTGCTAGCTACACACATTCATAGTCCTTGCTCTGCTGATATCCATTTGACTCTGAAGTGCAATTATATTGTATTTACTGTTTGCAAGTATAGAAAGTCTGTATTGACCCTAGTGTGACAGGAACCTATCATTGGTACAGTAAGCAATAAATCCTGGAGTTGGAATATGTCTGCTTTAATCTTCACTGTAATCAATTAAGCTCTGAGGTTAGAACTGCTAAGATTTAACTCAGCTGGCTGTTCACAGAAGTCTACAAGATGTCTTTTCTGAGGGATTGGTTGTGATATTGGGATGCATTAGCAGAAGGGTAAATTTATACACAAGATCTAAACTTGGGCACAAGCTATAATATGGTGGTTGAAATATATGGATGGGTAATGTATTATCTGCTTTTTGATGAAAAGTCAATAATTTATAAGGCTTAAGAATATAAGTCAATTTTTAGTTTGCACAGAAGACTTGTGTACGTGTATTACTAAAATTCCACACAACTTATTTTTTGTGGGGTTTATTTAGTAATTATTTTTAATATGAATAATGACTCATGCATTAGTCAGATTGTTGATTTGAAGGTTTACTGTGTAGTAACACAGTTCCTGTTACTACTTCCACTTGTGTTACTTTTTTTTTAAATTTTTTTTTTATAAAGCCTCAGAAAGTCAACTGTATGATCCCTCAGTGTCTGGCACTTCTTCGGAAATAACAGCCTGCAGATACCATTTAGCTTTCAAGATATTTAATTTCAGAGCCTCAGGAAAAACATGAAGCACTTCCTCAGAATGGTAAATGGAATGATATCATTGATTTAGCCATTCAAGCAAAGCACCCATGAGCCAAGGGCTTTATGAAATGCTGCTGGAGGAGGCATTGAAAAGTGGCTTCCAAACTCATGGCAAAGTTCAGCAGTGGCAAGACCCAAATCCCCCCAGGCCTTACAGTGCCAGTGTCAGCTGTGACTCCTGCTGGGGGTGTGCAGGTGGCTGTGGCAGAACCAGCAGCCCCAGTGTCATCCACCTTCCCAACAAACTTTGCAGTTCCTCTTCAGTCCTTCCCTCCCTCCCTTTCCCAGCACTATCCCTGGCTGATGGGAGGCTGTGCTATTTTCCCCCACACAGGCCACGCTGTGCACTCACTGAGCTGACCCCTGTGGGTGGAAATCTTTCTTCTTGATGAGCTGGTCCCTCACAGATTTCCTGTATCTGTGACACAACCTGAATAATAAGAGTTCTTTTCTTATCTCTCTGCTCAAACCAAAATGGAGCAGAGGATGCCACTGCTGTGGGGAATAAACTTTTCTTCCCCTGTGAAATATGGAAACAGTAAAACACTCCAGGTGTTCATTTTTCCACCCTCATACAAGTCAGGCACTGTCAAGCCTGAGCAATAGACAGCACCTCCTGTTTGTTAGAACAAGGAGATGTTCTTTTTTTTTTTTTTTCCCTAACTGAGTGGCTTTTCATCAGAAAGCAAAGATCCATTTCAAGTGAAAAGCTGTTGTAGCAGTGTATTAGTTCCATCAAAGGTCCCATAGTGGGCAATAGGGAAAAAGCAGAGCCCATCCTTCCCCCAGGCAGCCAGGACCATGGGGTCAGGGCACTTACCTGACATGGGAAGTGCAGTCCAGCTTTGCCTAATTTAGAAGGAAGTCATGCTGGATGCATGACCTTAGTGTCAGACTCCTCAGAACATTCCTTGGTGCAGGATTCTTTCAAAATCTCCACATGGTCCTAGTTCTAACTTCAACATTTTTGCAAGAAACAAAACCAGTTTATTTTGCTGCATGCTCTAGCATTGTCTCATAAAGAAGAGATTCAAAAGAATAATATTCTAAAAGCTGCTTTTTCCCCTTTGTGCCTTTTTTGCCCCCAAAAGCATCACAGAAGAACCAGTCTGAAGCTTTTTACAGAGTCTGGCTCCTTCCACTGATTTTAAGGTACAGTGAATCATACCACCAGTTAACATTACATATTAACCATCATTTCTAGTATTCTGGGTGTGCGTCTCTATATCACATTTTCCATCAGCCACAAATAGTTGGCTGATCTTATTTCAATGCATGATTATAAAACCACAAAAGTAGCACATTTCTTAGCTGGATAGACATGTTGCTATTTATGGATTTTTGGTCATGTATATTTATGAGTTTCTAAAATTGTACATCCAATTTCAGAACTTCTTTAATGTCCAAATCTCACGAATTATAAAGTAAATTTAACATACATGATTATTAACTGTATGGGAGAAAAATTATAAGTAATATTATGACTAATTTCCAGTGGCAACTGATAAATTGTCTGCATATTTATTTCTTGTGGAAAACTCTGACTTCATGGTTTCATGATTTCCAGGCAGAATATTTATAACCTTGACAAATAAGGAAAAACATATTTGACACTCTTAAACCCCATTTACTTGCCATTTTGAGAACTTGGCCTTCATTAACAGAAAAACGGGGTTTTTTTTCAGCAAACAAGGTAATTGACCTGTCACTTAAAAAGTGATAAAAATCTCCTTGCCACTATTTCCACATCTCTATTTTTTCATTTATAGACTGATTTGTATGCCTCACTTTCATGCATCTTCACTCAGACACATCTTGAACTCAAACCTTTAACAGTGTCATTTAATTAGGAGTAATATATATGGGCTGGCTTCTGTTTTGTTATTCTAAAAGTACAAAGCTATGTCCTTTCTATTTATCTAAATACAGCTGAGGTGGTATTTCTTTCTGGGTAGAGTCTCTAGTGTCTAAGGAAGGAAACACTCCTGCTTCAGTAAATTCAGTTTAAAATTCACTCAGCTGCAAGATACAAAGGGCTCTGGGAGGACAGGACGTGGAGCTGAGCTTGGGGACCCAGTTTGGGGATGAGAGGATGTAAAATGGATGGAAAGTTTCAAGGTCTGAAGAAAATAAGATACAATCAGGGTGAGAATTGTTACACAGAGCGTTAAAGTGGTAAGAGCCCCAGATGAGTGACAGGTGTAGAAGCTTTGCTTCTTTTCTTCTAAAAAGTTAGATAGTTTAAAAAAAGTAAAAAAAAAAAGCTTAAAAGGTCACTGCTACTTATTTTGCAGAATTGGGGTTAAAAGCAGTATTTTAAGCAAGGTGTTCTCCAGTACATTTGGAGAGACAGTTCCCTGTGAGCCTCCAGCCCCACCTGTAGATGATCAGCCAAAATATTCTGAAGAACATTAGTAATTCTAATATTCTTAAGCTTTAGAGGTAAGACTAGAGTTCTGCCAAATACAGATTTGAATAAACTACTAAGATCAATTCTTGGTCCAATTTCAATAGGAAGTATCTACCTTTGTCTCTGCTTAAACCAAACTGTTAAGCCATTTTTATACATGTTATAATACAGACACAACCAGGTAATTTGACTTAAAGATTTCCAGGTAAGAGAAATCTGCAAAGCACTTCCTTGTCAAAACTTTGACTGGATGTGATATGGAAAGGAATACAGGTAAACACAGTTTACCCATCATTGAACTGGGCAAAAAAGAGTGATTGAATTTGTCTTTATGTTCATCATTCACTGCTGCATTGACACATAAACTATGGTCCTCTAATTAACAGCAGCATAATGATTGTAGTGTAAGGGTCAGGGATCCACATAGAAATAAAGCTGCTTATGGAATGGCTGCTATAAAAAACCAAAAACAAACCCAAAAACCCTGAAGTGAAGTCTATTTAACTGTCTCTAAATTAGATGTGCAGAAAATAACATTTAAACAGGCATTTTTTGTAGTATCATGGATTGACTGTCTGAGAAAGGTTTTAGCAGGCTAAGCTGGAAAGTGAAGAAATTATTGTGAGAGCAGTGACACCTGTAACCATGAATATTTAGGATACCAGGATCCTACCTTCAATGAAGAGCAGTATTTTAAAGGAGTCTGCAGTTGACCGGAACTTGAGTTGCAGCAAGCAATAGATCTTATTGAAGCACTCCACAGAAAAACATATGTTGAATAAATTGTAGACTTGGGTTAGTCTGAAAGCTTAAAGTTCTATTAAAATCCTAAAAAAATATTGTATTATTTTATAATTTATGGTTGACCATCTTTGGTAATCATTAATCAAAGTATAGGTAATTTTAAAATCGATTTGTATTTCTATGTATGCTTAAATATTGAAGGTTTAACAATTTTTTTTTTAAGCAAAGCAATAATCATGTCTAAACATTTTCATAAGCTCAGTTAAAAACTTGTGAGTTTGCTGAGTCTGGCATGCCTTGCACTTTCATGGAATAATCATCTTATTTCAGCAAGTCTTAGGATAGCACATGTGATTTTAAATATTTCATAGTATTGTTCTGTGCTGTAAGAGAAATAGGCCTTAGAAGATCAATTCAATATGAAGAAAGTGAAATAAATGGAAACATGATAGTAAAGTCATAGTTTTCCAAGGTGGAAAACTTAACTACACAATCAAATAAAGTTTTTTCATTTAGTTATATGACAGATCATTTCTAGTGCAATCTATCAGTTTCTGCTAATAACTAGGTAGTTTGCATACACAGAATCAAGAAAACCATGTAAAATATGAATTCAAATGAGCTCTATTTCTTTGGTTCTGGTTCCATATTCCAACTGCATTTGCTGAGTACAAGCCCTGCTCTATCACCTGCTGGAATGGTGGAACTCTTCTGTCCTCCTTAGTGATGTTTCTCTGTGTATTTTGTAAATCTCTAAGTTTTTTTTATTCTCTTTTGTTCTTTAAGTACAATCACCTTTTTAATGTCAGCTGGAGGAAAATAACTTGTTCTTAAGGCATTCATGATTGAGCCTGACACGGGGAAAAAACGCACAAAAAAGTCTTTAATTAGGCACGTCCTTGATTTTGTGTGACTGATTCACTGCAGGTTTATGATATAACTGGGTTGATTTTCAATCTTGTTTTGGGAACTGTTGTGATGTGGAAAAATCTCTTTTCCAAACCTAGTGCTGGAGTAAAAATGCCCAAAATTGCTTTCCCCGCTATTCCCTGTCACGGGCACATGTTAAATACTGTAAATATCAAGGCAGTTTCTGAGCTTGGGAAGTGTAAAGGACCTTTTCACCCTTTACAATTACCTGAAAGGAGGTTGTAGCCAAGTGGGGGTTGGTCTCAAGTGACAGGACCAGAGGGAATGGCCTGAAGTTGTACCATGGGAGGTTTACAACAGAGATTAGGGAAAATTTCTTACCTGAAAGTGTGGTCAAGTATTGGAACAGGCTGCCCAGGGCAGTGGTGGAATCACCACCCCTGGAAGTGTTGAAAAGCCAGGTCAATGTGGGACTTGAAGATACGGTTTAGTGGCAAATATGGTGATGCTGAATTCATGGTTGCACTTTATCTTGGAGAATTTTAGTGATTCTATGAGAGTGAAATGGGTTTTGGGGCCAAAAACAATGTAGTCCCCTTAAACCTTTTTCACTGCAAATGCTAAGTTGAATTACTTGGATTTCCTGAAGGTAAAGAATATATGCACAAAGAGTGAGAGAGGCTGAGCTGTTCTCTAGGATGATGATTTTTAAATTTTAAACTCAAACAAAAGCTGCTGGTTCACATCCTTCAGTAGAAAGATGTCTTGGCAGATAGAAGACACAAAACTGGCTGTGGTAGATGCTGAAATATTTTGGGAGGCAGCAGAGGTGATTGTTTTCCCTGAAGTGCAAGGAAAGGTCAGAGCTGTACACCTTGAGTGGAGAGACTGTCGGTCTGGGGGCTGGGAGAGCAGCTGTGAACTGCTTCACTTCAGCTTTTGTTTCATCCCATATGCAAGAGACAGATACTCGGGGTGAGTGGCCTGAAAAATCAAACTTCTCTACTAGAAGAGCACAATACCAGGGGAATAAAACTGTTCCTGCTCTGATTCTCTTGGTCAGGCTCAAATCTGGGGTGCCTGACTCCTTTGTAAAGCTTTTTATGTGACCTTTTGCTTTTTCATCTTCAGGGGCTTAAATCTGAAACCGATATTGTAGGATTATTTTAGGTACCAACTGAGCAGAATTTTGGAAGACTGGTGGCAAAGCCACATTCTGTGAAAAACCTTTCACCCAGGTCACAGTCTGCAACCAGAGGGCGTCTTGGTTGTCACACCTGGAGAAGTTTGCTGGTCCCATGAATGTAGCTGGTGATCTTTGGTATTTTTAGTCCAGAACTCTCCAGATCCTGCCCCAGAGAACATGAACTGTTGTTATGTTCACTGGAAGCTGTGTGAGGAACAGGTCACTCATCAAAGGAGAGCAGAAAGGACTCTGGATTTCACAACTGATATATTACATTCCATTTTTTTTCCCAAATACCTATTTGTCCTGCCTCTGGCAACTATAACAAATCTCTTCAAAGTAGGAAACTCTTTTGCCTGATCTGACATGCCTAAAAGAAAAGGCAAACTTTTCCTGCTTTTTTGTTCTAGTGGATACAAGTTATAATTTGCAAAACAGTCACATGGCATACTGCCATGTCAATCAAGCTTTTTAAAATGAGATTTGTTTTAAACACTGCTTGCTTAAATCTTGTGTCTACACAGGCCTACACATCTATGCTTTCAATGAAATTAATAGTTGTCAAAAGAACAAAACACATATTATCTGTTCCTTGCACTGGTTTGAGCAATAATGAATACTGTTAGAAAGGAAGACTCTGGCAGATATGACAGACTTGGAATCTTGTTTTGTTTTTTTTTTTTAAATCACATCAGGAACATTGGATATGAATTAAAACTTGTTATTGCATGTGGAGAGAATCAAATGTCTTGCAGAATTAAAATCACCTATTTTAATTTATCTTTGTTTCCACAATTTTGGGAGAAGAGGGGAGGATTTTCTCATCATGAATTTTTTTCATTCACGAAATGAAGTTTTGTATGAAAACAACATATATTTGAAATTGTCAGAAAGATTCAACTATGAAAAAAGATTTTTAATGTGTGTCTAAAGAATTTCTTAATTTATAATACGATTGTCCAAAAACCTGTTGTGGAAAATAGTTTTTCCCAGAATTACCAAGGGAAAACCTGTTCCCACCATCCAGCCTTTGCTGACCCTTTTGCCTGATCCACAGTCTCATGAAGTCATATGGAGCTTTTCCACTACCCTTTGTGATGTTCTCACTGATGTTTCCAATTCCTAGCTGGCTTCTGTTTGTACTTATTGCTGAAGAATCCTGTGCTGAGTTATGGGACACTAAGCAGACTGTGTTGCAGATTAGATATTTTCTCTCAGCTTTGGGTTCAGCTTCAAAAGTGCCATCTTTTTGCTGTTCTAATTTTCTTAACTCCTCAGAGCTTTAATTCAGCTGCTACAGGTGCTTCCCTTTTTTCCTCTTATCAGATTACTTTCAAATATAAATGCTGCTGCCATATTTGATGCTATCTCAAATTTCACTTTGTATTTCTTTTTAGTGATTTATCTTTTTTTTTTTCTGAAATCTTTGGTGAGTTAAGAGCCAGTACAAAGATAAATTATTTGGGGCACCTGGGTTTGAGTTGCATTGGGCAGATATAAAACTCAGTTCTATTTTGGGGGGAAAAAATTACATTTACAGCTAACCAGGATCCTTGTTCATATATCTGAAACCAGTAAAGAGCAAAGTTTTGCCACTTATATCTCATAATCTGTCTCTCATCACTGTGTGCCATGATTTATTATCAAAGTGGTAATTCACTTTAACTGAGAGTACCTATGCCTGAAAGTCTAAAGCTCAGCACTAAAGTAGAACAATGGCAAAATTTGTATCCAAAAGCAATAGTCTAATACCCTGCACTAAATCAAGGAAGTGAGTCCAGTCAGGCCTCTTTTCTTCTTTTTCTTACAGTCACTTCTGAACTAAACATTCTGCAGATTCTGGATGATGTCTTGAGACTGATCACCAAATGACTCCACACACTCACAGGGTGTGTTTTTGAGTTTTAGAGTAGCTGTGGCCCCTGCCTGATTTAATCCACTCAAGCAGGTGAAGTTCATGTCTTCCTTGTAAAGATTGCCCTTGTAGACATGCACTGCCATTGTGGAGTGAGTTCCTACTGAATGTTATCAGGGTAAACTCCTGTAATTTTCTCAGTGCAGAGAAGGAGTTTTAGAAATATGACTCTCTTTAACCTCTGCAGCAGTTTCCAGACTACTGCAGTTTGTGCCATCTGAAATTACTGCTGGATGTCATTGGGCTCAAACAACTCAGTCACAGAGGGATCACATTTGTGATCATGAGATGCCATGTACAGGCTTTACATACACCTAAAGCTTATTGGAAACAATATGTTTTTCATGGACTTCAGAAACTTAAACACGAAACTACACAAGCACAAACAAAATCTCAATGCTGACTTGTTCTGGAAACAATTACAGATGAGTTTCTTCATAGAGAATGATGTCCTTCTTTTACCTATATCTGAATATTCAGCACTAATCTTCTTACTGCTTATGCCGTCCTTAAAACTGTGTTGGAATATGTGAATATTTGAATTATGAACGCATGAATATTATGTTAAAAATTAACTTTGGATAATTTGTCTGAGAAGATGTGTCATGAATGTGAGCTGATGACAAGATTAATTAGCATCACAGCAAAATGTGAAAGATGCAAGAAAAATAGGTTAGGAAAGAAAGTAAAATTAAAAATATAAATAAAGAGAACAAATCCTCTTGGGCCATTTCACAGAAACTAACCTTAGATGAACCTCTGGATCCATTAATCTTGAGTAGATGAAAATTGTTGGTACCAGCTGGCAACTAAGCAGGAGTCCAGCTGGATTCTTGTCCTGCTTGGACATTCACAATGCAACCTCTGTATGCCTTGAGCACGTGGCATAAACATTTTTCTCCTCACTTTCTTCCACAAAGGCAGATGTGGATGTCCTTTATTTCACTGCACTTCAAGTTCAGTTCGGAGTTTGGCTGTGGTTGCTTTTGGCTCAGCCTGTCAGAAATGGGATTTCTTTGGTTGGGCCATTCAGTTTTGCTCTAACTTTTCTTTCTATCGTGATCACCAATGAAAAGAGGTCACATAGTACCTGGATGTTTTCCAGGTACTTTGGAAATCCTTTCTGATCCCTCCTACAAGGCAGACAGGAAATATTGAAAGGAAATACAGTGAAATGTCTACTTTGGAAGGAAAAACACACCAGTTTGTGATGACAAGCTTAATTAATACAATTGAAAAATTTGAGAGAGGTAAGCAAAAAGTCAGGAAATAGAGAGAAGAATAAAGTTATTTATAAAATAAAGGAATCTTGTCAGACAATTTCATAGTATTTTACAAATAACTGGGGAAGAGAACTAAAAATCTTCCATCGATTTTCTAGGAAAAAGTGCAAATCCTTCTTCAATCTGTCTATTGCAACTTGTTTTGGGCCAGTTTTACTATTTATGGGGAAGTGGTAGAGCTTCCTTTTTGAAGCTAGAATCTGAATTCTGAGGGGTTTTTGCCATATTCTTTCTTTACAATATTCCTTATCAACTTATATAGAAGGATCATTTCTTCTGCATGTTACCCAGTCAATTTTAATAGCACACCTTTGATTTATATTTACTGCATTTCTTGTAGTGACCCAAGATTTTGTATTTAAGTGTCAAGAGAATGAATGCAGAGAGGGAGATGTATTTTTTGTGATTTTACTATTAGTATGGAATTGATAGTACTGTGCATGTGCTCCACACATTTTACTCTATACATGCTGTCAGTGTTCCTATCATTACAAAATGTAGAATAATAAAGTAAGCATAATAATAAATAAGTAGTAGGCCTAGAAATCTGTTTCAACTGTAATTTGCCAAGTTAGAAAAATCTCTATCTTACTACAATGTCCTGCATTACAGAATATTATAATACATCCAAATCTGTCAAGAAAAAAACTCACCCTACTTATTGCAGAAAGTTGCTTTGATGCTAATTCCTCTTTTACTCCTCATGAGAGGATTAGCTCAGGGTCTTGAAAGTGAAAAGGAATCCCATCTGTCGACTTAAGACTTTTTCCATGTGTAAATTGAAAGATTTTTTTTTTTTTTTGAAGTGTAAATAAATAGATGAATTTCCTTATGTATTGGTTTGTAATTTCCCAAGGTGAGTGGTAGGTGTCTTTTCTGACACTGCTAGGGCAGAGAGTGGTCAGGACTGGTGTACATAAAATGTTTCTTTTTGGGAAAAAGATTTCTTCACGGATCATTAGGAAGCTTTTGTAAAGGTATATTTGAAATGGAAGTTTAGAGCTTTATTTTGTTTGCTTCTATCTCGAAGGATGTAAGTACCTGCAGACCTGAAAACAAGTAGAACAGGTCAAAAGATCATATCTTTACATAGCTGAGAACAATGTAAAACATATTACAGTATTGATAAAAATTATGCATGTGAGCTTCTCTAGACTGACTGTTCCAAGGACTGTTCTCATTTCGTCTCCATCCATTAATAGTGACTTAATTCCATGAAGTGTTAAACATTGCATTTCCTTTACAAATTTCTTCAGGTATCACTATCTTTTTGTCTTTCCATCAATTACTGATAAATAAGATAGAGACACAAGAAAAATGTGAGGGAAAAGAAAATACAGTTTGATTTTTTTTTTCTGTTTTACCAACCTATCTGATTTTTGAGAAGAAAATAGATGAAAAATTTTAATATAATGTTAGAAAGTGTAGAATATGAGGAAAAATGTGTCATATTAAAGTTCTAAGGGATTTTGATCTATTGGATCAAAAGGCAAATAGAAACTGAGCAAGACAATTGTAGTCAGGTTATGAGCAGAGAGGGGTGTAAACCAAATTAAGGAAAGACAGAAGATGGTGACGAACTGTGAACATTTAAAAATTCATAAAAAATGAATTTAGAAATTCTTCATCTAAGATTATGAGGATGGAAAGTAGAGCAGAAAGAACTGAGGACATTATTAAGGGGTATTTGTTTAGAGCTGCTAAAAGTCAATGAGTCTGGGAACACATCAATCACTATACACTACGCTTCCAAGTAGGAAGGGTCTGGTGGAAAAAGAATTCACAGACTTGTATATTAGTTTTACCTTTTTCAATGGCTCCCAGCACAACCATAGGCAGAATTTGATTTCAGATCAACAGCCATGTGTCTCAGCTTTTCTCTGTGTATGATACCTAAATGGGATTTTCCTTAATACCTGTAAAGATCCTTGGTGTACAATGTTATTATGTATTTAGGACTCTGGAAAACAACCGCAACTCCATTTGAATGTGTGTTGATTTTCACATCCATTAACTCCTTTGCTTTGTTCACTTGTTTACTGATTTTTCAACATTTTTGTATACCCAGATAAGTCAGAGAATCATAGAATCATTTATCTGGGGAAGACCTCTGAGACCATCTGACCCGACCATAAACCCAGGTACTATCATACAACATCACCTGCAATGTAAAGTGATTGCTCTTAATAATCTTCAGAGCTGTTATCTTTCTTTTTCTTTCCTCTTCTCTCTCCACTCTGACATTTACTGCTGCTTCTTTTTTAAATTGCAGTCATACTTTTTGCAACTGCTTCATCTTTTTTAAACTATCTGGCTTCAGGCTGGTGCAAGTTTTATTTGTCATTCATTTCTGGATATTAATCATTCCTTACAAATTATATCCATTCTAATGCTGGGTGCAGACATAGTGTTAATGTTTCCTGTAATTTTTCCGTGATTCAGGAACATTTACAGTCTTTAACTATTCCTAGAGGGAATGTTTGAAAAGAACTCAAAGCAGTATAGCAAATTAAATACATGAAAACTTCCAAAAATATTGAAAACATAATTTACCTTTAAGTATGGTGAGTTTTGTGTTATTCTTCTTTAAGATCTTTTTTCTTCAAGATGTTGTAGACTTTAAGCCAGATGGAAAAAAATTGCCTGCTATTGAAAATATCCACATGGCAAGCATTTGTTTTAGCCCATATCTGGAGTTGTCTCATGTTTCAATCAAGCTGGTGAGGGGACTACAAATCACCTGTATGCAGAGAGCAGCACAAAAGGGACTTGGGAAGGACACACCTGCCTTCCACTGAATTTTTTCCTCTGATTTATTCACAGATAGAGGAGAAATACTTCAAACATGTCGAAGTCCTAGAGAGACCTTGTCAGTTCCCTAATCTATCAGTGTCCTCGGAACAGTGATGAAGATCATCATGAGCACAACTCCTGTATTTACATTCAAGAAGCCACCTAAGAGATGACAGATATAACTTTATTACAGTAGGTCATTTGACTTATGTGATGAATTGAGTTCCCTTTTTCTTCCAGTTCTCATCTTTTGTCCTTTCTGAACTTCAATAAACCAAACTGCCGGTGGTTTTCCAGAACATATTTCTCATATTTCTGTTCAAATTTTCTTTTTTTTTCCTTCTTCTCTCTCTGTTTTTTTTAATATTTTATTTTCAGAGACTAACTGATATAACTGGATGCTGTGAACTTGCATTTCTACAGTATTGTTTCTTATAATAATAACATTGGCTATGAGATGCACGGAGGGGGGAAGACTTAGGCTTATATTCCCTGGGCATCCAGGGACAAGCTACTGAATATCTTTGATTGTGGAAAATTAGGAGTTTCTTTTCTGCTGAGCCTCAAATCACTGAATAAATGTCTGTGAAAAAGATATTAGTATATCTGCTACTGAAAATATAACTCTCTCTTTAAAACACGATAAGCTCATCTGCCCTGTGATAATGGCTCAATTTATCTAATTTTCTCAGCCTAATATTTTTATTTTTAATGCATCTTCCTCTGTTTGTTTTCTTTTATTTTCCACTACTGATAGCTTTTTCTCAAAACTGAGAAAATAGGTGCTGTCGTTTCTTTGTCATTTTTTTCTTGTAACCTCTGTAGTATATAATAACAATTTATGGAAGAAAAGTAATTTTATTTTCTTTTTTTTCTCCTTATTTGGTTTGTAATTTGATTAGACATGTTGTGGAGTCAGTTCAGTATTCAGCAGCTAATGTGACATGCACGTGACAAGCTAGACTTACGACAATTTGAGCAAAGTTTCAGTGTCATTGTACACAGTATTTCACATTTTACTTTAGCACAGCTGGGCTGAAATATTCTCCAGAGTGCCTTGCAGTTGTTTATTGTTTGCTTGTTTTTAGAAAGACTTGAACAACACCAGAGAAACAAGGAAAAATTGAACCCTCCTTAGTTCAGATGTCTGTGTGTCTCGAACCGAATCCTGCACGTTTGAGATGCTTTATTTTATTTTTAATAGTACTCTCAAGGAAAGGATAACAAATATTCTTAGATGCTCTCAGAGCTTCCAAATTCACAAGGGTATATTTTCCTTCTCACTGCTTCTCCATATATGCTCTGATTAATGCAGATGTGAGTTATGCATCAGCATCAGGGGGAGAATTTTACGGCAGCTGCTGAGGCGCAGCAAGGCTGAGTGGGTGTGAGGAGAGAATAAACAGCAACTTTCCAGTGGGAGTTCAAAAAGGCTGATGAGGAATGTGTCTAGAGAAAGACATTTCATCTGTTCTGCCCTATTCAGAATCACAGACCAGGCACCCAAAATAATACACATCATCAGAAGACTGATGAAGGACCATTGCGGCCCTTATTTGCTCTAAGGAGGATATGCATTGATTTTTGTTTGTAGGTAGAAGAATTCTCCAGACTTAAAAAGCCAAGCAGTCTGCACCGTGGAAAAGTGAATAGAAACAAGAGGAACTACCTTGGTCTGAGAGGTGGGCATTTGAGACTTGGTGGGAAAATGGGAGTTGAAAATGTAATGCAGAAATATTTGGAAATGTATGTTTTTACTGACTGTCAGGAAGAATCTTTTCAATTTTTCCTAACTTTTTTCCATTTGTGTTTTTCCCTGCTATTTTGAACTTTCTGAGAGCATGAAGTGGCTGTGCAAACGTTTCAAGAGTGACTACAAT